TCACAGTCACACACCAGCTGCTCTAAACAAAAGAGGATATCTGAAAGAAAGCCTTTAGATAACCCAGAGAGAGAGAAAAGTTTAGCAGGGGCATTGTAGTATTTCACTCTCACCAAGCCTAATATATTATAATGTTGTTAACCAAGTGTGTCAATTTATGCATGCTCCCATTGGCACTCACATGGAAGCGCTGAAGAGAATAATCAGATATTTAAAAGGAACAGTGAATCATGGGATGCTCTATGAAAGAAACAATTAGTAAATTGAATATTGCTTTTATAGATGGGTACTCTGATGTAGACTGGACTGGAGATCCAGATTCTAGAATATCAGTTTACGGCCCTTTGTGTCTTTCTTGATAGAAATCCAATTTCATTGAGTAGTAAGAAACTGAAAACATTTGTGAGGTCAAGTACTGAGGCTAAGTACCGAGCACTTGCAGTTATAGTTTCTGGGATTTCATGGATACAAAGTATTGGTTTCTTTTCTTGGAACAAATGTGCAAGTCAACGAGTTTATTATGACAACAAGAGTGCTTTGGACATTTTAGCAAATCTAGTATTTCATGATCGCACCATGCTCATTTAGATAGATTAGCATTTTGTTCGTGAGATAATTGAAGCCAAGGATATAGATGTTTGCTTTATTGGGAGTGAAAATCAAATCACTGATATTTTTACAAAGGGCTTGCAAAAGATAGACATGAGTTCTTAAATAAACATGTTGTGCATGTCAAAACATGATGTAGAACTTTTTTTATTCTTCTTGGGGTGTGTGTTGTGGGGGGGGGGGGGTTGGGCAAGTTGTTGTTAGAATGCAATGCAGGGCAGTTCTGTAATTGTGTAAATTTTAAGTGATTTATATTGTAGAGTCATTTGCTGTAATGTATGAGGGCAAATCTATCCTTACTCACGATGTAACATTATATATAGGGTAAGACTGGTATAAGGTGCCCAACTTATAATACACAAGTAAGGCACAACTCTAAATTTTACTTGCAGATGTATTTCTAGTATTAGAAACCACTATGATGGTTTGAAAATCTATGTTCAACCTTAATTATGAAATTTAAAATTTTAAAAACTCTGTAGATCGTGCAAATCTATAAACGCTTGACTGAGCAATCAAATAGAGTTTTGAGTCGTCGCCGCAGAGCTGAGCAGACTTTGAAACTCATGATATCGCATTTTTAGAGTCCCCTGCCACTTGAAGGTTATTTCCCCAAATTTGATCGAACTGCTTTAACCCTTCAAGCAGGATATTGTCGCGGTCATTGTCAAATCAAACATTCCTATGTACCCTGAGAAGTAAAGCTGAGAATGCCTGTGAACATATCTAAAAGAGCCCCGAAACCCTGGGTTATCGAAGGAGTATCTATCTATATTGAGCTCGATGGACCAATGGTTGGGTGGTTTCCGAAGGTTCAATCTGGTAAACGAGGCTGGTCCAGAGAATCAGATGGCTTGCCAATTACCTGTGAAATCAGCCACAGTGTAGGCCTTTGAAGTCTGGCAATCCTTTGCCCAAAAAATGACTAGCAATCTAATGCAGTCTTTGACAGCTGGAGTGGGGTTTCCCTCCCTTCGAAGATCTGGCAGTTCCTTTCGAGCCAAATGACCTAGATAGTGGCCATGGCTGATGCTCTCACAGGAACAAGCCAGCTGGAGGGCAGGGGTGGGGTAGAAGGCTGTAAACGTTGCTGTACCACTGAGGCAGCATCCAAATCCAATCGAAGGATTGAAGGAGTGCAAGCCACAGCTGGACATTGTAGAAGGTGATCTGTGGTTTCTTCTGAGGTTTTACTTCTGATGCATTCTTTTAGAGAGCACGGTCCTGTTGAATGCCTGGAATTGTGGTGAGATAGGAGGAACACATGCCTTGTTTGCAATGAAGAGTGTGCAAATTTGGAGACATAGCATGTAGAACGATGAAGCATATATTATAGATTTGAGCCTATCTGGAATTTTCCCATGACCACACCTTCCTGTCTGGTCAGGTGTAGAGATTTGAGCCTATCTAATTGTGCTACAAGGTGGTGGATCTCTGTATCACACAGCAAGCGTTTGAAAATAGGATTCCATACTGTAGCCCCCTCAGTGCTTTGTAGGATTGGGCCATTGTGGCATTAGGACATCTGGCCACCTGGAAATGGTTGTAGAATCCTGTCACCATTCCACAAATCTTTCCAGAACTTAACTCGTTCTCCACCTGAAGAGCAGTTGCTTCTTGAAGTTATGATGGCTTGCCATTAGATTTTTCCATGCCTCTGAAGCCCTAGCACCCTATGTCACCCATATTGTGTCAGATGACTGATTGGCATAACTGACCCTGTTGCGTGGAAAATTAACCCTGCAAATTCTCAAGAGGGCGATCTTGCAGTTCCTGAGATTCTGAATGCTAGGTCTCAATCTGTTTTTGGGTTCTACACCTCCCAAGAGACCAGATGGAATTTTTATGGTCCTCATACCCCATATAAGGGAAAGCCCTTCATTTGGTGACTCCAGTCGGGCGAGAATGGAGGCTGGCATATGGAACAAGGGCACTTGGAATATTGAAATATTTGACAAGGTTTCTTTTGAGAAGAGTGGTCCTCCCCCTACTGGCCCCCAAACGAAGGAACCTTCCTTTCCTTGCATCTACCTATGTTCAAATTTGTCTACTAACTATAGCATCTCGGGCTGTTTTCATGAGGCAGAGGGGATATTCAAGGTACTTGGAGGGTACTGGGCAACCCCACAACATAACCTCTCAGCCAAGTCACAGCAGTTTGAGGTTCCCATTATAATGCTTGGTCTTAGGACTTATTGATTTTCATTCTTGCGGGGACATTGAAACTCCTTGGGAAAAGCCACAGAGTATCTACTTGTTGCGTGATTGCATTGCAGTAGACCAAGGTGTCACCGGCATTACTGTGTATTGAGTAATAGGCCCTCTACTGGGTGACTTGAATCAGGTAAGGAGACCTTGTTGAAAAACCCTCAAAATCGAGTGACTGAAGATTTCAGCTACAATTGCAAACGTAGAGGAGGAGAGAGGGCCCTTCTGTCTAAGCCAATGTTTCAAAAAGTGCTAGGCGGCAGTTAGGCGGTCGGGGGGGGGGGGACAGGCCGCCCAGCGCCTAGGCAGGCGCCCAGAATCTAGGTGGCCTAGTAATTTTTTTTTTTGGGTTTTCTCTCTCTAAAATAGCCTCTAATGGGTTTTAGATTTTAAATGAACTTAAAACCCATAATGTTTCCCCTTTAGTATTAAAAAAATGACCAAAAAATACCTTTAAGGAGCCGCATTTCCGCCCCTGGGCGGGGCGCAAGCGGCCGCCTAGGCAGGTTCCCGGGCGCCCAGGGATATCCACCTAGTTTGGCCGCCTAGGCCTGGGCGATGTGCTCAGGCCTTCTGGACTGCTGAGGTGCTAGGCAGTCCGCTTTTTAAAACTATGGTCTAAGCCTACGAGAGGAGGGGAAGTATCATTTCACGACCCTGTTTATGAGAATAGACTAAAAGGAGGATGAGACACAGCCTTTCATCCATAACCTTCATTTCTATCCAGGAGCATCGGGTAGATGTGACCCCAATCTTCAATTGGTGGAAGGACCACCATTGGGGGATAAGGTTTAGGATTTGTGGCTCCTTGACCACATCATTTTAAAACGGAATATTCTCTGGCCATCTGACACTGGGATGGTGTCCATGAGGCTCAGCTTATGGTTCGAGACCAGCTTTGGGAGATGTGGCAGTGAGTCATAAGGAGGAACTTCTTCTCTGGGGAAAGGGGAATGAGAAACCTGTTGATTTTGGACAGGGTTGGGCTGGCTGCATGATTTGACTAGGTAAAGCCAGACCTGTTGAACAGGATGTCCAAAGAGTTGTTTGTGAAGTTGGAGAAGGCCGACATACTGACTGCGATCTGGCCATTCCTATTTTTCTTACCAGACCATCCGGTTATATTTAAATCCCCACCAGGCGCCCAGGAGGTAGGCAGAATGGAGGAAACTCAGTTGAATTCTTCCAAAAGAGATCTCTCAGATTGGGTCTATTGGGATGATAAGCCGCCAACAATTTCCATTCAAATGGTCCGAGACCCTGGACAGGCAGACTGTGACCAAAAAGGATTCAACACTTACTGATAATAGTCATGGATGGAGATGACCTAGACACCCCCGGGCCAACTGGGCTTTGAGGACTTACCATTGGTAGGACCTGGTGCACCAGGGGGAGGGTAGGGAGACTGTGACTTTGTCTGTAAGATAGCTAAAACTTTAGGGATGTACTTGTCTGCGATTGCTGAGAAAGCTTTTTTCTTCATGGGGGATTCCAGACTAGAATCTTCATTTGAGAGTATTGGAAGAGGATGCTAGCCACCTTTGGGAGTGTCTCGCAAGCTGGCTTTTGAGATGGAGAAGCCAAGATTGGGGCTTGTGGTTCAACTGCCTTCTTCCTTGTCATAATTGACACCACATGGGAGTTTCTTTAAACTCTCTCATGGGCGTTTCCTTTATCTTGTTCCTGGTTCCAGCATTGCTTCTGAAGATGTCACTGATGTCAAAGGAAAGGCTTTTGTAGACAAAGCGTATATCATGCAGTACACCATCTATGTTTTGTTTTGCTATGTAAATGCTCTCTATTTCATCAACAGTTAACAGGTTCAAAAAAAAAATGCTCTCTATTTCATTGGAGTCTGCAGGGTAGTAAGACTTCACATCCAAGTTGTCTGAGCTCTGGCTATCTGGTTGGGGGAACTAAAGAGGGTGGTGGGGATTGTATTCCAAACGGGGGTAGGCAACAGAAGGGAGGGCAAACGTCTGTAGTACATCATCACATCTCTCTCTCTCTTATGGCTACCAATATAATAATGTATGCCACTGCATATCACACTCCATATATAACTCATAATTGTTGAGGCCACAAAACCATGTCCTTGTAAATTTAGAGTTTGCTTGTCTCGATTGGCTTGAATCTTATTGTCCTGTTTCTCAAAATACAAACATAAGAGTCTGTTACTGCAGGGATGAGTTAGCAGTGTTCCAAAAGGCCATCCAAAGTGACTTGCAGGAAGTGGATGACCGCCTGGAGGAAGAGGAGGTATTACCACCCATATACAACTAATAATAACTGTTGGTTGGTTTTTCTTTCTTTTGGAGATAATAACATGGATTTCACTGCATGCAGTTTGATGCTGCTGAACAGAGAGAGGAAATGGAGTCTCTAGAACAAAAGTGAGTCTTGCAAGAGGAGACTCTTACAATACAAAAGTGGCATCAAGTTGAAAATCATATGATTTCTGATTTACAAAGAAAGCAAAAATAACGCTTGATTCCTATTTCAGTCTTGCCATTAGACTACTTGGTTTTTCTTTTTGGGGCTTGAAGATAAGTTTGGGCATGTATTTGCAGGGTCCTTAATGAACGTGTGGAGATGCTGAAGAAGAAGCAGCTTGAATTAAAGGCTGCAAAATTTGCAAATTCACGAAAGCGCCCTGCTTACATGGGTGCAGAGACTAGCGAAGAATCCTCAAGTGACGATGATGAAAACGAAGAAAACTTCGCCGTGGATTGGAGAGCCAAGCATCTATAAGAATATGTTATCTGATTATGACCAGTGGTTCCACTCTTATAAAAGATCTTTGGCTCAAATCATATCAATCAAAGTCCTTTGTTTTCTGTACAAAAAAAATTCTTTGATTATTGGCTTTCGGTAACTTGTTTAATCATTGCTTCGTTGATGTTTTTTCATGATGATTTGTGGATTTTTCTTATTATATTCTCTATTTATTTATTTATTATTATTATTATTATTATTATTATTATTATTTTCTTCGGATTTTTACATTTTTTCAACCTATATATCATTTTTTTCCCTGTAGTCCATTTCATGTATATTTTTTGACATTCATATACAATAAACGATTCATATATATAATCAATTATTTCTTGCTGATTTTTAATTATTTTGAATTTTTTTTTTGTTTGCCATTTTGAGACCTTTTCAGACTCCTGCACGTGCTTGCCCAAGTTACTCAGCTGGCCAGGGGCTGTGTCCGGAGCTCGAGCTGAGTTTTTGCGCATGGCTTCTCATTTTCCTTAAAGGGATATGATAAGTTTTCGAGATGTCACAAATCATTGGTTTTCCAGCTTTCTAATTCTGGTTTTAAGAGTGATGAGGTTATCATTTAGATTTTCTTATTTGATCTGATCTATACAGTACGGTGATTCATATTTTATTGCGGACCACCCTAAGTCACAATCCGTTTCTGCTCGATATTAAACACTTCAAGGGGTCTTGTAGCAATCAGCTTATTCCCTTCTAAACACAGTCGTTTGGCTTATGAGATGGATTTCCCTTTGCATTGTCTTGGAACCAGTGTTTAAAAAAAGGCCGAGTCGATCCGGACTCGCCCGGTTTGACTCGAAAATCGCCATAGGGGGATCGTATCGGCTAAAAAATTGGGAATCGTTCGGTTTTAGAGAGAACCGGACGATTCTGCACAGTGACTCGCCTAGTCACTGTGCGGAATCGGCGAGTCCGTGAAGAAAATGGGTTGTACAGTGTTCTTCACGGGATTTTTCGAAATTTGTCATTTTTTGATCATTTTTCTTGTTTTTTTTGGCATGTGATCTAATTTGCAGGCTGTAAACAGTTTTATTCAGCTTTTACAAGGATTAAATGGTTGAAAAATTTGGTGTTTTTGGATCACGAAACTTGCTTTTTTAGGGTTTTCGCTTTTTCTGAAAGTTTCATGCCAAATAGGGCATGAATCTTTCAATTTTTTTAGGCATTTTGATCGTAAAGCTGTGAATCAAAACCTTTTGTTACTATTTTGTGATAATCGTTGAGAAAAACAGAGTTTTTTGGAGATTGAAGTCTTCGGTTCACAAAATCAGGTAAGAAGTTTGGGTTTTTTTTTTTTCTGCCATATGATTTATTTCACGACATGTTTTGAACATAATGTGTTCAATAATTAAGGTTTTTAATCTTTATTGTGTCTAGTATGATTTAAAATTTTCAATTTTACGTAATTTGGTCAATTACAGCATGAAATTTGAGATGAACACAGAGATGTCTACGGAACCAAAACTCCGCTGTTTTTTTTTTTTTTTCCGCCTTTTGATTTTTTTTTCATGATATATTAGTAATAATGTGTTAAAAATTTAGGGTTTTGATTCCTTATATTGTTGTTTATCAGAAAATGTACTCAATTGGATGTAATTTATTCACTTAGAGGCGGATTTTTGAGTTAAAATGGCTTATGTAAAATGGTTCTGTGAAGAACAAATTTTTTTTTTTTTGTAATCCATGATTGAATGTTTTGTAATACTTGATCGATTTTTTTGTAATCCATCATCGAATTGTTTTTTTTTTTTGCTAATCCATGATCGAATTTTTTGTTCTTTTTTTTTTTTGTAACCCATGATAGAATTTTTTGTAATCCATGATCGAATTTTTTGTAATCCATGATCGAAATATTTGTTTTTTTTCTTGTAATCCATGATCGTATTTTTTTTTTTTTTTTGTAACCCTATGATAGATTTTTTGTAATCCATGATCGAATGTTTGTAATCCATGATCGAAATGTTTGTTCGTTTTTTTTGAATTCCATGATCGAAATGTTTGTTTTTTTTTTGTAATTCCATTGATTCGAATTTTTGTTTTTGTTTTTATGTAACCCATGATAGAGTTTTTGTAATCCATGATTGAATTTTTGTAATTCCATGATCTAATTGTTTTTCGTTTTTGTAATCCACGATCGAATTTTTTGTTTTTTGTTTGTAATCCATGATCGAATTTTATGTAATCCATGATCGAATTTTTTGTTAATCCATGATAGAATTTTATGTAATCCATGATCGACTTTTTTGTAATCCATGATCGAAATGTTTGTTTTTTTTTCTTGTAATCCTGATCGAATTTTTTGTTTTTTTTGTTTTTTTTTTGTAACCCATGATTGAATTTTTTGTAATCCATGATCGAATTGTTTTTTTGTTTTTGTAATCCACGATCGGATTTTTTTTTTTGTAATCCATGATCGAATTTTATGTAATCCATGATCGAATTTTTTGTAATCCATGATTGAATTTTTTGTAATCCATGATCGAATTTTTTGTAATCCATGATTGAATTTTTTGAAAATTTGTGATTTTTTTTTTAATCCATGATCGAATTTTTTTTTGTATTCCATGATTGAATTTTTTGAAAATTTTTGATTTTTTTTTTTTATTCCATGATCGAACTTTTTGAAAATTTGTTAATTTTTTTTTTTAATCCATGAGCGAATTTTTTTTTGTAATCCATGATCGAATTTTTTGAAAATTTTTTGTACTTTTTTTTTTTATTTCTTTTTATCCATGATCGAATTTTTTAAAAAATGATGATTTTCCGAAAAGATGTGAAAATCGTGATAAGGTTTTGATTATCATGATGTATTAAACCCAGTTTTTATTTTTTATTGTTTGAGTTTGCTATCATTTTTTTTTTTTTTCCATGATTTAATTTTTTGAAAAATGATGATTTTTCGAAAAGATGTGAAAATCGTGACAAGGTTTTAATTATCATGAGGTATTAAATCATATTTTAAATTTTTATTTTTAAAGTTTTTGTTGAAAAAATTGTATGTTGATGGAATATTTATGCAAAATGCATGTTATTATATTTTTAATGCAAAACTGTATTTTTTTTATCTGTTGTTCATGGATTTTTTTAGTTGGGATGACTGATGTTAGCTGGCTCTGTGAAGAATTGTTTTTATTATTAATTTTTTAATGCAAAAAATGTATGTTCTTGATAATTGAGTTGTAGCCATGTTTGGAGCTTGCATTTTGTATTATATTATTCTGAATGTTTGTAATTGATATGTACGAAAATATTATTGTCAATAAAGGTATTTTGCAATAACAAATAACAACAAATATGACTACATGAACTACCGCAACATATTATCACTACACATGGTGATTTTTTTTTTTTTGAACTGTCAGGTTAATTTTATACTTTTTACATCTTAAAACAGTTGAATCATGTCAAGATCTGCAAAAGATCCTGCATGGCAACATGGGGTCAGACTTGATCCCAACAAGAAAGACAAAATTATTTGTAATTATTGTCAAAGAGTGATAAGTAGTGGGGTACATAGGTTCAAGCAACACTTGGTAGGGGTTAAGGGAGAAGTTTCTGCATGCACTAGTGTCCCTAGTAATGTAAAAAAACAGATGGCGGCAATTCTTAATGCTAACAAAGGTAAAAAAATTACCAAACATAGGATGAATGAGGAGATAGCTAGTTTATATACACCATCAAGCAGGAATGATACATAAGAGCAATATAATAATGACTTAGAAGAGCAATATAATAATGAGCTGGACATGGCCACAAGATTGAGTTTACATGAACAATATCAGAGGGTACGTTGGTTTAGAATGCCCGGTGGGTCTAGCTCAGACATGCATGGTGGGCCTAGCTTAGATATGCATGGTGGGCCTAGTTCAGATATGCATGGCGGGCCCAACTTCAGCATGTATGGCGGGCCCAGCTCAAATTTGTATGGAGGGGTTGGTGGCAATATATATCAAAGAGAATCAATTGTTGAAAAAATTGTTTCTAGGTTACCTAGGAGTGCCTCATGGTCGTAAAGACCCATTTCTCTCAAAGCCTAAGTCACAACAGATGACCTTAAAAGGCATGGTTAAAGGTACAAGAAACATGTTAAGGGGATATGTTGGTAAATGGTTCTACGATAAAGGGATTCCCTTTGATGCAGCCAATAGCCCATATTTTCCACCTATGGTCAGTGCAATCCAGAGAGTCGGGCCCGGGGTAAAACCCCCGATGACATATGAGCTCAGTGGGCCAATATTAGATGAAGAGGTGGAGGAAGTTAAAAAGTGAATTGAAGAATATAAACAGAGTTGGCCAAGGACAGGAATTACTCTCATGAGTGATGGTTGGTTGAATAAAGTTAGCAAAAAAGAGTTTTTAAACTTCTTGGCCTATTCCCCAAAAGGTACATCTTTTTTGTCTAGCAAAGACGTATCAGGGACGAAGAAGGATGCAAACTTCTACGTACGACTATATGATCAGATAGTGGAGGAGGTGGGAGATAAGCATGTAGTTCAGTTTATTACGAACAATGCGCGGGCATGTGTTTCTACGGGCAGCAAGTTGATGGATAAGAGGAAGCATCTAGTATGGACCCCGTATGCTGCACACAGCATCGATCTTATGTTAGAGGAGATCGGTGAGATTAAAATTGTGAAGGAGACTCTAGAGGAAGCAAGGTTGGTGTCGAGATTTATATACAACCACTCTAAAATTTTATTTCTGTTTAGAGAACACTCTAAGAAAAAAGAGATAATCAGGCCTACCATAACCCGCTTTGCGACCGATTACTTAGCTGTGGACTCCATTCGAGAATCTTAAGGTGCATTAAAGAGATTGTTTACTTGTGAAGAGTGGTTAAATGACCGCCTCTCGAAGTCCAGTACCAGTATAAAAGTGGACAACATAATCTCAAATAGGCAGTTCTTATCTCG